AGCATACAAAATCCTTCACAGTCTCTTTTTGCAGGCTTTTTTTTTTTTTTTTTTTTTTAATCAGCTTTTAAAGAATTCCATCCCAGGGCTTCTCTCTCTTCCTGAGTGAAGTGTCAACGCCCACAGCTTCAATTACCACCTATGAGATAATTTCCTCCAAACCTCCAAGTCAAGCATATCTCGGAGGTCAAAGACCCACAATTCCCTTATTCAACAGACACTTAATGAACACCCACTATATGTGAATCCCAGTGACCACTCATTGTCACCACTAGGATGTCCTATAGGTACATTTCTATGTCCAAAAATATATTATGAGGACCTTTCTTCCAGAAGGTAATTCAATCTCTATTTCCTAGTTTGACCATTGATACCATTATCACCTTGGTCACCTAAGACATAAACTGAGGATTCATTTGAAATGTCTCTTTCTACTTCACTATGCACCCTTAATCTTCATTCAATGTCTGTGCCCACATTCAGTTAGTCAGAAAATCCTGAGTTACACCCTCTGAAAAGCTCAGGTCTGTGCTTTCTTTTTGAACCCCTTGGCCTCTGTCTTAGTTTAGTCCTCATCACCCTGACTCATTTTAATCTTCCCCAATATACCCTCCATACCTGTCAGAACTCCCTCCTTAAAGCATTTCATGGTTCCAAAACTACCTTTAGAATTAAGGTCAACTTCTTAGCGTGACCATAGCACTTTTCTGCACCCGGTCTTTGCCCTGTCTCCTGCCACTGTGTACTCCATTCTGAGTGCACACTAAGCAACTTACTGTCTCCCAGAGACATTACACCCTTTCCTACCTCTGTACCCAAGCATATGTGCTTGAGGAGTCCTGTCCTTTGTCTTCCCTCTACACTACCATTTCTCTCTTAAATGACAGTGCTGCCTAGTGGACAAGTGTGTGCATTTAGGGGCTGAGCATTCCTGATATCCAGTCCTGAACAAGTTTCTTTTCCTCTTAGAGCCTCCTTTTGTCATTAGGGTTGTTTTGAGAATCAAATCAGGTATTTGTTGAATAAACAAATGAGTTACATATTCATTTAGTGCCTACTACCTGCCAGGCACTGTTCTAGGAATTGCAGATATAGCAGTGAACTAAACAGTTGAAGCCCCTGACCTAAAAATTCTTACATTCTATCAGGTACATAGGAAGTCAACAAAAAAGTTGTTATTATTTGTCCAAGGCTTAGGTAATAGCTCCTTGGGGTAACTTTGCCAGATCTACTTGCCAGTTTCCATTCTGAATTAGGTGCTCATTTCCTATGGTCTTATATCACCCCATGTGATACAGTTATTACAGCATTATGTTGTATCTTAATTTCCAATATTTTTTAAAAGTATGTTTTTATTTTTGAGAGAGAAAGAAAGAAACATCGATGTGAGACAGAAACATCGATTGGCTGCCTCCTGCACACCCCCTACTGGGGATCAAGCCCAAAACCCAGTCATATGCCCTGACCAGGAACTGAACCAGGACCTCTCAGTCCATGGGACAATGTTCAATCCACTGAGCCACACCGGCCAAGCATAATTGCCAATATTTTTATCTTCACCGACAACAACGAGTTTCTCAAGGACGGAGCCTGGGACTTTTTTTCTTGTTTGCCAGCTTCCAGTACACAAGAAATCCAATTATAGGTGTCAAGTGAATGAATAAACATTTTAGGATATACCTAATATATTATTCAAAAATAACACATACTGCTGAAGAGCATTTGCTTTATGCTAGACCCTGTGTTAACTGTTTAAATACATTATGTAATTTAATCTTCACAGCAACAGTATGAAATCAGTATTATTACACTGACTTGATAGATGAGGAATCCAAATCTTAGAGATGCAAGATAACTTGCTAGGGTCAAGCAGGGGTTGAAACCAAGCTGGGGAACCAGGTCAGCCTGATTCTAGAGCCCCAACTTTACTTATGATGCTTGAGTAGAGGAGCCATTTCTCCATGGGGCAGTTGGAAATGTAGCACATGGTGTACATATACTTTATTATAGGTATACCTGTGTACATAAGGCAGAACTTGAATCCACAGTTGATGTACACAGGCATTTTAGCTTAGTTATGTTATCCTATACTGATCTGTGCATCTCTGCTTACATGCAGAGGGTTGGGGAAACATAGTTTTAAACTTGCCAGTTCAGTTTTAGCACCTCTTCCAGTTTAGACTATCTTTGAATAGCTCCATCTCTTGAGTGAATATTTAGTCTTTTAGATACCCTTTCCTCTCACTAACTCCTCTGCCTAACCATACCGAGCCACTGATTTCAGTCTTTACTATTAAGGGGATGCACCTGTTTGGGGTTGGGGGGATGAGTGTTAAGAATATGCTCTTTAAGGAGGTCTTTTCCTGGAGTCTCAAATGGGAAATGAGACAAAAGAAAGTCTCTTAAGCTGAGAATAAAGCCATTACCTCTCTAAAGACTCCTTCAGGCCACCTGAAGATGAGAGATCCTGCTTTTTCCTACTTTCGTATCTTTCTTTCTACACTCAGGTGGGGCTGGAAAGGGTAGACTCTTCCCTTTCTCTTCCTGCCTATTCTGCACTTTTCCTATGTCCTAGCTTCATCCTTCCCAAAGTGAAACTTGCCCTCCCCTTCTCCCTAGGGCTAAACTGGGGAGTAGCAGCCAGATCACCTGATTCTTGAGAAGAGAAATGAAAACACATCTGGTTAATATTTTCAAATTATTACTCCTGTTACCCCTGCGTCTTGGAGGGTAATCACGGGTCTCTGGAACTCTCTGGTTCCTTTATAGTAATGTGGCTCAGAGGAGTTCTGGAGGAAGATTTTCAAGGGCTTTTAGATACCTCCTTCATCTACTCACTACCCTTCCCCTTTTAGTCCATCAACCCAAATTCTTGGCCATAGTCTTCTCCTTCACAAATGGCCTAGAAACAGTGGGAGTACTCGCTCTACAACATTAATTGGTATCATCAGTGAGCCATGCATTTAAATTTTCACAAATGTAATTCCTATGATAACACCAATGATGTCTGACCTATTACTTAAATATGAGATTATGGAAAAGTAAGCTGTAATAAAGAACACAAAATGAGAGGGCGTACTCTGGAAACATTAAATACTTGATTTGTAGATTGTGCCTTTCAGCTTCAGACTATCTCCAAACAAAAGGGGAAGCTTTTGTGCAAGAGAAAAAAATCAGTAAGGAAATTGACAACCATGGGTTCAATAACAGAAATAGTAAGAGGAAGCAGATCTTTGTAGCAATGACTACACTCTCAAGCCCCTTATAGCTCAATGTGCAATGTGAGGCTTGGTGTATATCTCTTTTACTTAGATATATCTGTGTACCTTGTAAGTCTTAGGTCAGAATTGGATCTTTATTGTATAGGAAAAAATTCTCATGTAAAGTAAGATATGAAGAAATCAATTTGTATACTGTGAATTCACTGGAAAAGCATAAAATAAAATTATTAAAATAGCCCAAAAGGAGAATATAAAATAGGGGGGGGTGCCCCCTTGTGTGAGAATATCATTGCCATCTGGGTTGTAAACTATTTGATTCTAATTCCAGTAGCTTGATGCCAGAAATAACTTATTACCAGAGAGATATGCTGGAGAATTGTCAGGAATGGTGAAGTTTTTAACTTGCTTTTAATATCTGTATCATGAAATTATAAAGCTGATGAACCATACAATGATGTGAACAGGTAAGCCTTATAGCCTAGTACTTTCTGCTACATATATTTATGCTCTTTTATACCCAGTTCTTTCCTTCCAACCTCCCAAAAAGGTTAGAGACCACTTTTGATAACCAGAGAATCCTTCAAACTCTCTCCTCCTCAGAGGAAAGTAGTGGACACATCTGGGGTCTGTTCTGAGTTTATAATCTAACCCATAGACTTTGTACAGTAATAGCAAATCTATTCACAGCTATCTTTTCGCTCATGTTGAGAGTGTGCATAAAGTAGTTGATTTTTTCCTTGATCTACAATATTTATGAGCTCACATTAAATATAGATCACTACTGTCCAATCACATTGATAAAAGCATGTCATTTTGAAGTTCCAGTTCACTACTTTCTAGCTATGTGATCTTGAGCAAATTACTTAATCTCGCTAGTTTACTCATCTTTAAAATTGGGATAATAATAATAGTACCTGTCTCATAGCCAGGTACTATTTGAAAACTGCATTACAATGTTATAGAACAACTTGAATGTTGAGAGCTTCCAAATACTAAATTGGGTGTTCACATAATTCAAATGGAAATGAAATAAATGACAAGGAGTTAATTACCTGTATCAGAAGACAGTATAAGAATTTGAATTAGGGGGTCTTGGATAACTATCATGTTCTAAAATGGTGGTTATCTTTTTCACAAATCCTCTTTGGGGAGTCTTTTGTGCAGAAAATATCTTAATTTACCATCTTTAATCTTCACGTTATTAAAGGCTACATTGATTAGAAGAAAATACAGTTTCCTCTTAGGTTTTCAGGTCTGGGGCTTATTTTGAGGAGGAGGTTGCTTTTGTTTGGAGAATGGGGGAGGAAGCTGGAAATTCTAAACCCTTGGTCCGATACAGTTTTTAGAAGCAGGCCCCACTGGGTCTTATATTTTTCTGAAACCAGACCGAGTTTAATTTTAATGGCATAAGAACTTGGTATTGAAGGAGTTAAAGGGTCTCCCACACCCCTCTGCCTGAATCGCTCTTTTGTGTACACAGCTGCAGTTGGAGCACTGGTCGGAAAGGAAATGGTTAGAGGAAGAGCTGGGTTTGAGACCAGGCGAGTCTGCGAGGGGGGCAGGGGGTGGCCTGGGATTTTACATGCCAGATGTAGGCCTGCCCCGTGCCTGCCTGGAGCTGCTGGCGTGGTCACGCCGCGGGCCTGTGCGAATTCAGACGAGGTGATGAGTTAGCGAGTTGCTATGGTGACGGGCCGGGCCACGTGACCAGGGTGCTGCTGCCGGCGCTTTGACGTCAGCAGCTGGGAGGGCGGGACGCAGGAGGGCGGGGCGGGAGCCTGAGCTGGGAGAAGGGAGCTCGCGAGCAGGCAGCAGGCAAGGTCTGCGTGAGGAGCAGGCGAGCGGGAAGGCAAGGCAGCCACCTTCCTCACCAGCCAGCCCACAGCGGTTTGTTCCCTTCCTCGGGAGTGCGCCAATGCCTGGTCCGACCCAAACCCTGTCCCCAAATGGCGAGAACAACAACGACATCATTCAGGATAACGGGACCATCATTCCTTTCCGGAAGCACACCGTGCGCGGGGAGCGTTCCTACAGGTAATGGGTCTGGCACCGGGAGGGGGCCGGGCGGGGACCTCGGCGGGGGCGCGCGGAAATCCGGCCCGTTATATAATGAAACAGACACTACCCCGGACCGGGCTGCAGACGTGCGTTTGTGAAGGCAGTTTCCATGTGTCATGTGGGGCATGCATTGAGGCTTCGCGATTGCAGATGGAAAGCATTTTGTGAATAGGTTGGCTGCCTGCAAGGGGTCTCCCTCCGTCTCTTTCCATCCACATTGATGAAAATGCAAGCAGTGTTTCCCCCCTCCCCGAAGGGAGACAAGCTGTAGCACTTCCTTTCTTCGTTCCCTTTTAGATTTTAAAGGAACCCTGAGGTAGGCTGTGTCTAGAGGCAGAGGACAGGAGGATGCGAGGAAAATGTTTGCGCTGGCCCTGGTGTGTGTGCGGGAAAGATGGAATCCTCTAGATGAAGCTGCAGTCTGTGATGTTCAACCGCCAGATTGATGGAGCTTTGTAAGAATTCCGCTCGCTGATTGGTGCAAGGATTGACAGCAGAGGTCATGGTGTCAGGCATTCACCAAAATTTTCTTCACAGAACCTAAGGTTTATTAGAAAGAGACTGGACTGCAACGGACCTGAGAAAAACTGGGTGCCGTTCTGCATTTTCTTAGGAGTTTATGGCCTCTGCATGGGTGGGGAAGCCCGCCCTTTTTATTTACAGTCGGAAGGTAATTCCTGGTATTTTGCTGAGGTCTGATTTGAGGATGGGGCTGATCTTGGTCATTGTATTGTAAGCCGTTTGATTAATGAGTCGTCCTGTGCGGTTGGCATCATTTTTACATTAGCATATCTGGCAATATGTTCTAGCAGATAAGCTCATTAAAATTGTTTGCATTGTTTGATAAGGATAACAATGTAATGGAGAATGCAGCTAGAGTCTAATGCAGCTCAAGGCCAGACTTGAAGGGAGACTGATAGCTTCACTCATATTTCCTCTGAAGTTCTTTTGTACTGGGGTGGTTATTTTTAAATGTTACCTTGATAACCACTAACAATGCTTTTGCTTTGAAGCAGAGCACACATACCTCTGAAGTGCATCCTCTCAGCTAGTGAGCAACAGGAAATAACTCTTTTTTTTTTTACTATACCTTCATCTAAGCATTCAAATAGTATAACGGTAGAATATTCTGTGTGTGTAAATGTTTATAAAATAGGACCCAAAGGACCCCACTTTCTCTCTGTTTGACCAAAGAAACACTATTTGCTGACTCTGCCCTGTCATTTCTGGTAGTTATATAAATACTTGGAGTTAATTTTGGCTGTGCCCATGAAGTCAACAAAATCTCATGCCTTATGGTTCCAACTAATATGTTGACATGGCATCCTTACAAGTGCTTGTCATTCTTTTAATGGAAACCAAAATTGGTCCACAACTTCTGGGGTTCTCCTTTTGTAGACACAAGCTTATGATTGGAAAGTTGAGTCCCTCTGTTCCTTATTCCTCCCCACCTTTTTCTGTGCATATTCAAAGGCCTAAAATAGAATTAAAAACAAAAACCTTGAGTTGCTTTTAAACCTCACTTATTTAAGCTGTTCTTATAAGTATGCATTTGAAGACCTCATTTCTTAAATGATTTCATCTCTGCCATGTAGGTAGCCATTGCTTTTAAGATGGAGTTTAAATTTTACCACACGGGCCAGAGGATGTGGCCTAGTTGGGTTTTATTAGTCATATGAACTAACTTGAAATGACAATGGAAAATCACTTGGCGGAAAGGTTAAATGCTAATTTTGGTGATTAATTATTGCTTTAAAGTAAAGTTTTAGTTACCTTTTTAATTCAGTCTAAGTTATTTCCATTTCCTGAATTATTTCTAATTTGCTTTCCGAGTCTCTATAATGGTACCTGAAATTATGTGAAAAACACAACTGAATTGGAATAAAGATATGACAGAATGAATTCTTAACTCACTATGAGCATCATTGCATTTGTATTTTATATAATAGGATTATTGGACACTATAGTGAGAAATGTCATAGGTAAAATGAAGAAGAATCCTCCAAAATTGCATATGTGCTGTATTATACAAAGAGTGCACTCAGGGATAGACATATTTGATGTTACCCTCGGTCTACTTTTCTTTCGAAGCGGATGACCACTTATTTTTCTGTTGGGGCATAGGGGAAGGAAAAATGCAACACATTTTTCTATCCAGGAACTGTTCTGTAATTATTTTGGCATCCTGAGGCTTGAATACTATTGCCATGTAATTGCTGAGAAAACTTGGAAGGCAATTTGAAAGCCAGAATAGAGGTGTAACCAAATAAGTTTTGCTTTGGCTGTAGGTTCAGTATAACCCTCATCAGTGAAAAGTGCTTGAGAGTTCTGTTGGAGTCTCATGGAAGACCCAGAGACCTGGGATGTCAGAGAGAATTCTCTTTCTGGTTTCTTCATTGACTTCTAAGTAGGCCTCCCAGCAGGTCCGTTATCTTTTTAAAAGATACCTACCTTTGCTCATTATCTATACAGCATCTCACTGAGTTCTTATAAAGTTTTTGTGAGGTTAACTTCAAATGTTTAGAACAAAGACTTTCTTAAAAAGAAAAGAGCTATGTAAATATAAGAAGAATGTGGTGATTATTGAAAGAGGGACTCTTTTAGGAACTCCAGATGAACCGCCTCACCTGGTAGGTAGCATAGCTGAGAGGAGGAGGAGACAGCTAGACAAGACAGTGCTTCCCAGCACAGTCAGTGAGGAAGCCGCCACTCTTCCCAGCAGGAGACATTATTGCCATACATTTGCACCAGATTGTTTATAAATAAGGGTCAGATATGGTTCATGACCCAGATATCTTAACCCAGGTATCTCTTAGTGTAAACAGAGCCCAATTTTCCAGCCTGGACTAGAGTGGATAGTAAATCATTATTGAAACCTGTGTGCACTTTGGTTAGAAGAGCAAGTTTTCTTTGGAAAATCACCCCTCCATTAGTCATTTCAACTGAAAAGAGCAAGTGCAAAAATGGCTAGGTAGAGCCATATGGACGTGTCTCCATAGCTCAGGTCCACTACCATGTGATGATCTCCTGGGCACCAACTTCCTCACTGCATTTATGAGCACTAGAAATCCATGTATGTTAAGAGCAGTTTAAAATATAAATATGGTGTGGGCCATTTGAGGTGACACTGTTTAATTCACAGAGTGAGTGAGTCCTGGTCTGGATCTCCCCGGGGAGGCTACTCCCTATAGTTGTTTCATGTGAGTGCTAGTAGGAAATGAGATTTATTAACTGGCCCTCTGCCCACTGCATCTTTGTTTGCATATTCCAGGCTTTTAAGAATGAATGTATAAGTCCAAAGGACTATTTCCACCTGGGTGTGTGAAATGCAACTATAGTAGCATATGTTTCTGAATACTTTTTTAAAAAGTACTTGGCCCCTTGAAATGGACTGTAAAAAAAAACAAAACACAACTTTGCCAACTTTGAAAAATGAATGCATGTTAAGAAAAAAAGAATAATCATGCATGTGTGTGTAAAAGATAGTTGTGAAAGTGTGTTCCATTTAATAAAAGCTATTGTAACATGGCTCACTTTAATCAGAATGTAGATTTCAGATCATACTCCCAGAAACAGTAGCTGCAGATATTAAAAGTCTAGTCTCATGTGTCTCTGCTATGTATGTATTAATATCGTCTGGGTTTACTACTACTGTCTTAGGAGGTTTTCAAAAATAGTAATTTTTGTCCTTAATATTTTTCTTAGTATTTATTAAAAAATCAAAGGATTACTTGATGCTTTGATTCTTAGGTGCCCAATATTTGAACTTCTTTTCAGGGTCTTTTGTCAGAGCTTCTGGATGCCCTTAGTGAGAGGCTCACCCCTCCTCGCCAGTGGCTGTCACTGGTTGTATCTGTTTACAGTGCATTAGCTTCGCAGAACAGTGGTTTGAGATAGTCCTCTGAATTTAGGTGGTTGTTTTTCGTATGCATTATTTTATCTATATTTACAGGGACCTCTTGAAGCTTCAATGAATAATCTCTTAGATTAATGGAGGGGGGAATATTGAGACTAATATCAATATTCTGTTTGGTGTGGAGAATTGACAAATACTTGAGAGTCTGCTCTGGGCAAGCTCTCTGCTGGATGTCCCTTCAAGGACCTTGAGTTCTAGCAAAGTCAGATGTTTGAGCAGTTCATTTTGTAACAGATATACCTTGTGAATATTTGGCTTGGTCTGATAGCAAAAGTGGTTTGCATTTCCTGAGCCCACAGTGACTCAAAGTAGAAAACGATACCCTCAGGGCCAGTATACTAAACTAAACCACACTGGAAGACCAAACATTTTGGTGAAAAGAGTGTAGGCCTTAGAATCAGAATTTTGATTGGCCTGGCAAGGTGTACAATGGGCAGAAGTGGAAAATAAGGCAGGAGCACTGTAAGGCAGGCAGGGTGGTCAGAACTTGAAAGCTCATTAATCAAAAAACGGCATAATGTCAACAGAAGTGTGTATGCTGGAATTGATGTCCTGTTTTGAAATGAGAGTTAAAAGGAAAATGGAGTTCTAACAGTGCCCCAACCCTGAAGGCTCCAGAAGTACTAGAGAATCCTTCATTCACCAGGGGAGAACTCTCTGGAACCCAGTGTAGGGATCAGGACAAGTACACAGATGTTCCCTGGCTCAAGGCATCTTTCCCCCAGAACAATCACAACTTCCAGCCCATAACAGGACTGGTACTTGGGTCAGACAGTGGCTTCTATATTTGCAGAAGACCACTTCATAGTTAGCAGCCTAACTTCAAGGGGTAGCTAGTCTGTATGCTTACACTATTCTAATCATCCCACACTCAAAAGCAAGGTGCCTGTTACTTCATTATGGAGGACCCTCCTGAGTCATTTAATACCATAAAATGTACAGACGTGACTGATGAAACTGCTCAGGGCGCTCCATGTGGCTCCGGTGCCAATTCCTCTGATAACTGGACGGTGATCACCTGCTGGCGGTCTCTGGAGTAGACTGAGAATTTAACTTGGAT